GATTAAGTCTTAACGTAGAAGCTTACATTTTAAAGGAAGATTACAAAAGCCAATGAAAGCTAAGATTGCTACAGTTTCTAGAAGAAAGGGATATCACTTCACAGATAAGAGAAGATATATAACAGAGGAGAAATCAGCAGTTTGGCAGAGGAAATAAGGACAGAATGGAAAGAATCCGCACACTCAGAAAATAAAGAACTTGGAAAAACTCTTATTTGGCAGGTTTAAGAGGTATGGGAGAGGGGCACCAACAGCCCAAAGAAAATGAACCTTATTTCAGTGCTCTGGCAGGGCAGGCAGCAGAAAAAAGAAAGGCAGAAATAAGGTATAAAAAGTCGCTGAAATGACAGAAAAATAAAAGAACTAATGGGGGGAAATGTGGCATATAACAACTGGAAAGGAAGCACTGTTTATGGGAAAAGAAATCTGCCAAAATTACAAGTCTACCACCACCACCACCTCTAACTCTTTTTGATAACATTGATTTAAAGAGAACTTTTAATGTGAAAACCAGTAGTTCCACCTATTATCATCTTTGAACTTTTGTGAATAGAGAGACAGACACAAAGCAGGTGATTGACTTACTCTTGTTCACAATCCTCATTTTATTTCTCTGTTCATTGAAGTGAGTTATATCTATACATGTTCTTTGTGAAATGTTTGGAACTATACACATAAGCATAAACTATAGAAAAAAACTACAATTCCATCACCAAAAAATAATGTGACTAATCCATTAATGAAGTCATTGTAGCCTTTATATATAAATATATACACACACTTATCAAGACATAATTTTATAGACAATTAATATTTCATCATAGATGTAACCATTGTTCTTTTATTTTTGCCTCTGGAAGTAATACAAGCATAATAATCTATTACATTTTTATCTACAACTCTGAGATATGTGTAGTGTAGACTCCTAGAAGAGAAATTACTGTTCCAAACTATATAACATTGATACAGATACTTGATATGAATCATTAAATTGCTTTTTAAAAAGTATTGGCAACATAAGAGAATGGCCATCTTACCATATCCTTATCTATTTCCGTATATGGATTATTACAGTTTAGAAATTATTGCCAGTCTCAAGAGTGATAAATGATAATCCTTGTTATTGAACTTGCTATTTCTTTGTAACTGGATTTTAATTTTTTTCACATTGGATATATTTGGCTACTAGGAAAACAAACTTTCTCAATATAGCTTTCCTGTGGAGTTTAGAATGTAGCAAATACACATTATGGTTAACTGCTTAATGGAAGTTGCTATTAAGTAAAGATCTAAGATGAGTATTCTCATCATATAATTAACTTCTAAGAAATAAGAATAAATATTGATTTGTTTAAAATTGTAAATTATCATTACAACTTCAGTATTATTATAACATAGAAACAAAAATTCAGTCTGTGATCAACTTGCTTTTGTGGTTACCAAAATGTAGTTACATTTTGCAGTACTAAATAGATGTTCTCTCTCAAGTTAGATTGATGAAGAAAAACATATTTTTACCTAGCTGTAGTATATGGTACCACTGATGGTCTTATAGTGTTATTGAACTTTTCTCTTTGATAGTAACTAAAAGACCTCTCTCCTCTTCAGTTTCTGGATTGAAGATTGAATCAGTAATTATAATTTATAAAAACGGTCCCACAAACTAAAACATTCTGATATTTTCTTTATTTTCAACTTAATACCATCACTTAAGAAAAATTTGTCATAGGACATCTGGGTGGCTCAGTTGGTTAGGCATCTACCTTCAGCTTGGGTCATGATCCCAGGGATTGGGATCAAGTCCTGTATTGGGCTCCTTGTTCAGCAAGAAGCCTGCTTCTCCCTCTGACTGCTGCTTTCCCTACTTGTGCTCTCTCTCGCTCTCTGACAAATAAATAAAAAAATTAAAAAGAGAGAGAAAGAAAGGAAGGAAGGAAGAAAGAAAAAAGAAAAGAAAAGAAATATCTTTCTATGTCTGGTTTTCCAGATAACAAAATTACCTCTGAATTTTCATCTGCATCTAAGCTTATGTCACATGAACAATAATTTAGCATTTTTTCTGCATTAGAACGATAGCATCTCCACAGCAGGTATCATGTGAACAATATTTGCACCTCTGGCATACATAATTGGTGATTTCTTTAGCAGCTTTCTGCAAATAAACTATTTTCATGTGATCAGTCAGCCTTTTTAACATGTATGAGTGCTATCATGTTTTTCTTGAATATCCTGATAACATAGTTCTTTTTTTTTTAATATTTTATCTATTTATGTGACAGAGATCACAAGTAGGCAGAGAGGCAGGCAGAGAGAGAGAGAGGAGGAAGCAGGCTCCCTGCAGAGCAGAGAGCCCGATGTGGGGCTTGATCCCAGGACCCTGGGATCATGACCTGAGCCAAAGGCAGAGGCTTTAACCCACTGAGCCACCCAGGTGCCCCTGATAACATAGTTCTAAAATCTCTTATATGTCATAATATTTGTCCTTGGTAAAGGATGGTCAGCCAGCATCCTATATCCTCACTTAGAGCCAGTTATTCTATGAATTATGTTTAGCTACATTTACTTTCTATGCACACAACTAATAGAACATGCTTGCAATTTCTGACTTACTCTTGTCCTTCATTGTGTGTGTGTGTGTTTGTGTGTTTTCTTTTTTTTTTTAAGATTTTATTTATTTGACAGAGAGAGATCACAAGTAAGCAGAGAGGCAGGCAGAGAGAGAGTGGGGAAGCAGGCTCCCTTACCGAGCAGAGCGCCTGATGCAGGGCTCGATCCAAGGACCCTGAGATCATGACCTGGGCCAAAGGCAGAGGCTTAACCCACTGAGCCACCCAGGTGCCCCGTGTGTGTGTTTTCTGTCAACAGTTGCACAGCATTTGTTAGAAATGGAATTTTTTTTGTCCTAGAAGTGTTTTTCCAATCAGGTACACTCTATTATTTGCTGTGAGACCCAGCAAAGTACACAAGTAAAGCAAAAACAGTTAAATTCATTGGTTTACTCTGCTGTTATAATTTAAAAGATTTTTATCCAAATGTCTGGTGTATAAGATTCAGAGGTACCATATTTAATAATAGCACTTACTGATTTGTGCCCTGCAGATTGTTATTTTTGGAAAAGTTTTTTAGATACATGTTTTCTAAAAAGAATTTTTGCTTAGGATTCACAATTTTTGCAAATTTTATATACGTTTTGAGTTCAACTTCTAAAATGTAATCTACCAATTATTTCAACCAGATTTTTGTGTCAATTTTTATTGTCATTAACACAAATCTATAAAGGATTGTCTTCCTAAAGAATTCTTGTAAAATCTTGTTTTGAAGTTTGAGCAGTCACTCTAACCCTTTATTTTCTTCATATCCTCTATATACCGTATTATGTTTGGGCTGAATATATTTATTGTGAATGTTGCATATTTTGAAGTTTTTCCTTCCCTTAAAATTTTGGTTTAGTAAAATTGACATTCTGCTATCAATTCACCCTCAAATGATGTGACAAATTTCCAAACAACTTTTTTCTTAAAAACGTCATGGCCTAAATGGAATGAAATATTGTTCCTGGAAGTTATTTCATTTAATGTTATGCATTTTAATTCCTAAAATAAATGCTTTGGAGCCCAAAAAAGTATTACTCATTATTTTTTTAAGATATTATTGATTTATTTATTTTATTTTAGAGAGAGAGTGTTAAAAGGGCAGAGGGTGAGGGAGAGAATCTTAAGCAATACTCTGCACTGAGCATGGAGCCCAATGAGGAGGCTCCATCTCACAATCTTGAGATCATGACCTGAGCCAAAACCAAGAGTCAGATGCTTAACTGACTGTGCCACTCACATGCCCCAATTTATCTTTATTTTAAAAATGACTTATCATATCACAGACATGGTTATGAAAACTCATCTTTGTTTACTTTGCAATTTTTTCAATTCTTCCATTTGCCTCAGCATGCATGATTTTTTAGGGTCTGCTTCAGAGGAAAGGTTGAAAATGAAGCAATAGTGGTCAAATTTGAAGTCCATTTGTCATATATATACTTAGGTATAAATGCATTTATAGGACAACTTTGGTCCCACATGCAATATCAAAGGTAGTATGGAATACAATCTAAGTTATTAACCTGCAAGTAGTGTTTTGGAGATGGAAAACAAGGTGATCGTCATTTTTTAAAAGATTGGTACCAAATTACATGAAGCCAATAGAATAGGTCTTATTTAGGACACTGTTCATAGTAATTTGTGTTTAGGATTTCAAATGTCTTTGAAGTCTATTATTTATCTACAATTGGCCCTTAGCTACTCTTTCCCATGTCAAATTGACTAGATATTCAGTCCAAATAATAACTGGAGGGAATATAAGAAGAAATACATAAAAACATATTGAATTGAGAAGGTTAATTTAATCTAACTTTAATATATGCTAATAAATTAAGCTGCCTTTCACTGAGAAGATGCAAGTCCAAATAAAATTAATTATTTTATGTCAGTATAATTCAAATAATTCACATGTTCTTTTCCAACAGGGAACAGAAGAGTAAGCCATGTGGTGATAATGGGCAATTTAGAGATTTTGATTAACTTGTTATGTGTGTGTATATATATATGCTATATATAGCATATATATAATATATATTTATATTATATATAATATATACATTATATACATTTTATATAAATTATTTTATAATTATATATATATTTATAAATAAAATTATATAAATATAATTTTATATAAAATATTCAAGTTTTGCATTCATTAGATCAATTGGATTAGTGAAATAAAATTGAAAATGCTATTGTAATGTTGCTTTTCCTTTAAATTCCTCTCATATTGAAAAATGTGTACCTCGGTTGTAAAGAAAATTTAGTGGGTTAGCTCATGTGATGTCTTTGTAATGAGTTACTTGTATTAATAGGTTATGTAACTTTTTCTCATTTGACATCAAAACATCTATCAACTTAGAAATACTTAATGTTGTTTATAATGGTGCTTGATGCTTTCTTCAGGTGATAATTCAAGATGATGGCCCTGAAAAGTTGGACCCCAAATATTTTGGAGAGTTACTTGCTGATCTAAGCCGTAAAAATACAGATCTGTATTATTGTTTATTAGAACATTTGCAGAGAATTGGAGGAAGGTACTGTAAATATATAATATCATTTGCCTTGATGTTGTAGTTATCAAACATTTTATGATACTTTGGTATTTTTTAATATACTTTATTTTTTACAACAGCTTTAGGTTCACAGCAAAACTCTAGTATTTTTTTAAGGTTTTATTTTTAAGTAATCTCTACACCCAACAGGGGCTCAAACTCACAACCCCAAGATCAAGAGTTACATTCTCCACTGACTGAGCCAGCCAAGTGCCCCAAAGCTCTAGTATTTTAATGGAGAAATAGGATAACTATATGAGCATATCTGATCAAATGTCTCATTTTAAGAGTTAATGTACTTCATGAAAATCATCAAAAGAGATCCTACCAGTCCTTTTAGGTTCAGTAAAGAATTCTGTGAACTTTCTTTCATAACATACTTTGATAACAAATACAACCTCTTGGACAGGGAGCTCAAAAAATGCATGGCATACTATGACTTGTTATAAGATATTATACTGATGACATAAGATGCAATCCATTGTCAATACACCACTATTCATCTTCCATTGATTTATGCTCAATGTACAAAGGCCATAATTTAATATACATTTAGTGTTATATATTAGAAAAAGTGTTATGTATTATTTTAATATATTATATTACCTATAAAAATTAAACATAAATTATATAAGTATATATTTATATAAATATGTATGTTTTATAATTATATACTAAATAATTACATATATTTAAATATATACACATAAAAAATTCATCAATTGTTCATGCATAGATGAGAGCATACTATATCATGAAATGAATTCCATAAGCTACATAAGTTATAAAAGTTGTCTTTTACTACACAGTCACGTCCTATGTATGGCCAACTAAGACAAATTCTAGGAGAGCTCTACAAATACAGAAAAACATGTAGGATAAAGGAATGTTGGTAGAATTTTTTTCTAGTTTACACTTCACTAACTGGATTCTTCTGTGTCTTAAAGATCTTTAATCTCTTATCTAGCTTTTTTCCTCTCCATTTATTACACTCCTTTCTTTCCATGTTTAGCTCCATTCTCTCTAACTTTACTTGCTTTCATATTCATGACTGCAACCATTCTCATACTATCATCCTCAAGTGCCTTACCTTCTTATCTTATTGTCCCTCCCACTTAGCAAAATCCCAATTCTTGAATACTCTATCTCTCTTCTTTATTTATTGTTTCTTTTTACTACTATCTACTCCATCCAATACATAACACTCACTACTCTCAGAATTCAGAGGGCTCTGTGAGGGCTGTTTTATTCACCCTGGTTTCCTTGGTGTTTAGCATGGTGACTAGTTTAGTGTGGTGCTCAATAAATATTTATGGACTATATGAATGTCTTTTTTTAATTTTTTAAAGTTTTTATTTAAATTCCAGTTAGTTAACACATGGTGTACCATTAGTTTCGGGTATACAATATAGTGTTTTAACACTTACATACATCACCTAGTGCTCATCACAAGTGCCCTCCTTAATCCCCATCACCTATTTAACACCCCCCTACCTCCCTTCTGGTAACCATATATGTTATAGTTAACTTATGAAACTCAGCACACAAAAAATAAATAATCCAATTAAAAATAGGCAGAAGACGAAGGATACATGTATCCCAATGTTTATAGCACCATTATCAACAATAGCCAAACTATGGAGAGAGCCCAAATGTCCATTGACTGATGAATGGATAGAAAAGACATGGTGTGTGTGTATATATATATACACACACACACATACTTGCCATTTGCAATGACATGGATGGAGCTAGAGTGTATTACACTAAGTGAAATAAGTCAGTCAGAGAAAGACAAATACTGTATTATCTTGCTCATAATTGGAATTTAAGTAAGAAAACAGATGAACATATAGGAAGGGGGAGAAGAAAGGGGAAATGAAGTAAGACAGTATTTGTGATTCAGAGCACATGGATTTGACAAAGTTGTTACTCAATAAAGGGTTATAGAATAAGAGTTAAATATATTCCAAATTTATTAGTTTCATACTAATTAGAAGTAGACAAAGTAACTGAGCAAAGGAAGTTATGTTATTTCATAATGATTATCCCAGTAAACGTGTAATCTGTGGATTTGGAACAAATCTTTCATTGAGGGTTTTGATAAACATATATAGATGACTTAAATGTGTGATTAAGCAATACAAAGCCTTGAATTTAATTCTTAGAGTACCTAAAGTACTACACACACAAAAGAAATAGAAAGGTAGTGTCTGCACATTAATAAACACTCCACGGTGGAGAGGGTCTTTTAAAATTTTGGTGATTTAGACATTCTATTAGAAGGTTGTCAGTTTAAGGGGCACCTGGGTGGCTCAGTGGGTTAAGCCTCTGCCTTCAGCTCAGGTCATGATCTCATGGTTCTAGGATAAAACCCCACATTGGGCTCTCTGCTCAGCGGGGAGCCTGCTTCCCCCTCTCTTTTCACATGGTATTTGTCTTTCTCTGACTAACTTATTTCTGTTAGCATAATACTATCTAGCTCCAACAATGTCATTGCAAATGGCAATATTTCATTCTTTTTATGGCTGAGTAATATTCCATTTTATATATACCACCTCTTCTTTATCCATTCATCTGTCAATATATGGAGCATTATACATGGAATATTATATGTGGAACATCTTCTTTATCCATTCATCAGTCAATGGACATTTGAACTCTCTCCATAGTTTGGTTATTTTTGATAATGTTTTCTGCCCATTTTTACATTGGATTATTCATTTTTGGGGTGTTGAATTTCATAAGTTCTTTGCATATTTTGGGTACTAAACATTTATCAGATATGTCATTTGCAAATATCTTCTCCCAATCTGTAGGCTGCCTTTTATTTTGTTGATTGTTTCCTTTGCTTTGCAGAAGGCTTTATTTTGATGAGTACAAATGGTTCAATTAAAAAAAAAACCCTCAATTTTGCTTTTGTTTCTCTTGCTTTGGGATTCATTTGTATAAAGATGTTGCTATGACTAATGTCAAAGATGTTACCTGTGTTCTCCTCTAGGATTGTTATTGTTCCAAGTCTCAAACTTCGGTCTTTAATGCATTTTGAACTTCTTTTTTTTGTGGTTGGGGCAAGAAAGTGGTCAGTTTCATTTTTTTTTTTTTTTTTTTTTGTATGATGCTCTCCAGTTTTCCCAATACCATTTTTTGAAGAGACGGTCTTTTTTTCCCCCATTGGCTATTCTTTCCTGCTATATTGAAGATTAATTTACCATATAGTTGTGGGTTCATTTCTGGGTTTTCTATTCTGTTCTATTCATCTATTTGCCCATTTTTGTGTCAGTACCATACTGTTTTAATCACTACAGCTTTGTAATGTAACTTGAAGCCCATAATTTTGATGCCTCCAGCTTTGCTCTTCTTTTTCAAGATTGCTTTGTCTATTCTGGATCTTTTCTGGTTCCATACAAATTTTGGGATTGTTTGTTCCAGCTCTGTGAAGATGTTGATGGTATTTTGATAGGGATTGCATTGAATGTGTTGATTGCTCTGGGTACCACAGACATTTTAACAATATTTGTTCTTCCAATACATGAGAATGGAAAGTCTTTCTATTTCGTTGTGTTTCCTGAAATTTCTCTCATCAGTGTTTTGCAGTTTTCAGAATCTAAGTCTTTCACTTCTTTGGTTAGGTATCTTACTAGTTTGGGCACAATTGAAATTGGGATTGATTCCTTGATTTCTCTTTTGGCTGCTTCATTACTGGTGTGTAGAAATGCAAGATTTCTGTATGATGATTTTGTGTCCTGCAAGTTTCCTGAATTCCTGTATCAGTTCTAGGAGATTTGGTGGGGTCTTTTGGGTTTTCTATATGTTGTATCATGCCACCTGCAAATAGTGAGAATTTGACTTCTTTGCTGATTTGGATGCCTTTTATTTCTTTTTCTTGTCTGATTGCTGTGGCTAGGACTTCCAGTACTATATAAGAATATCAGTGAGAATGAACATCTCTTTGTTGTTCCTGACTTTAGGGACTATCCTCTGGTTTTTCCCCCATTGAGAATATTAGCTGTGGGTTTTCATATATGACTTTTATTATGTTGGTGGTATGTTCCCTCTAAACTTTGTTGAGGGTTTTTCTCATGAATGGATATTATACTTTGCCAGATGCCTACTTTGCATACATTGAAATGATTATATGATTCTTATCCTTTCTTTTATTAATGTAGTATATCATGTTATTGATTTATGAATATTGAACCACCCTTGCAACCTAGGAATGAATCCCACTTGATTGTGGTGAATGTTTTTTAATGTACTGTTGGATTTGGTTTGCTAGTATTTTATTGAGAATTTTTGTACCTATGTTCATCAGGGATATTGTCTTGTATTTCTCTCTCTTTCTCTCTCTCTCTCTCTCTCTGGGAATCTTTATCTGGTTTTGGTGGTATCAGGCCTCACAGAATGAATTTGCAAGTTTTCTTTCCTTTTCTATTTCATGTAATATTTTGAAAAGAATAGGTATTAGCTCTTCCTTAAGTGTTTGGTAGAATTTTCCTGTGAAGACATCTGGCCCTGGACTTTTGTTTGTTGGGAGTTTGTTTGTTTGTTTGTTTTCTGATTCAATTTCTTTACTGTTTATTGGTCTGTTCAAGTTTTTTTTTCCCTTCCTATTTCAGTTTTGGTAATTTATATCTTTCTAGGAATTTATCCATTTCTTCCAGATTTTCCAACTTCTTGGCATATAGCTTTTCATAATATTATCTTATAATTGTTTGTATTATTGTGGTATCAGCTACTATTCTTCCTATCTTACTTACAATTTTATTTATTAGGGTGCATTCTCTTTTTTTTTGATAATTCTGACTAGAGGTTTATCATTTTTTTTTTGAAGAACCATTTCCTGGTTTCATTGATCTTTTCTGTTTTTTTTTATTTCATTATCATTTATTTCTTCTCTAATATTTATTATTTCCTTTCTTTTTGTAGCTTCTTTATGTGTAAGTTTAGGTTGTTTATTTGGGACTTTTCTTGGTTATTGA